TGACATTTGGAAGGACTTACGTCAGGGCCCACCAATTCCACCAATCATATGCTATAGCTTCATTCTCTAATCAATTCATTAATTACTAGAGACCCCATTTAAGGTGGCTTCATGATAACCTGATGGAGTTGACCTCAACAACTAATCAGGATATACCATTGGCGTACCTTTCCAGCTCGGTACTGTATGTTGATTTGGCAGCAACCAATAGGACTTAAGCTATTGTCACAAGTTCCCAGCTCGGTACTGTTGTTGACAAGACATGAATATGAAAGATACATGCCCATCATTTTCTATAAAAAGATGACAGTATCCTTAGGGAAAGGAGGGAGATGAAACCTAACAACTTCATATTTCAAATATCTCATTTGATAAAAAAAAAATACTTGTAATTTGTAAGTAATTATCAATAAAAATCATTATTTACACTTGAAGTTGTCTTGAATTTTATTTATACAATTTTCGATGTCAACAGAATCAATGGATGTGTCTTGCGGATTGAATTGAGGATAGTCTGATTATACTAAATAATGAATTAAGGTATTCAAAAATATAAAAAGGGATTTAAGAAACAATTAACAACTATAACTAGCTAAAAACAAGAAATGAAAACAAGTTTTCATATGAAAATAAAAATTGAGGTAGTTAACTTCATCCCTTACTTTCTCAATGAACAATTTTTATAACATATAAAAAATGAATTGCAGTACTCATAGAATTTATGTATATCTACATGTGATTAGGAGTTTTTGATACTAAAAGTTGAGCAATTATATTGAATTATATCACGTGTCCTCAAGTTCCTTAATCTTGCTTAGCGCTAATATGATCTTGTGCTCATCCCTTTTTAACAAACTTTAAAGAGAGAAACTCGAACTCTCTATTGAGGCGATACCATTTCGAAGTTTATCTAGATAAAGTTCTTCCAGTATCTTTGTTATTTTTTAGAGATACTTGTACTTAGTACTGAACTTTATTAAGAGCTTAAAGCTCAACCCTCACTTTAGTAACAACCAGCATTATTTGATTAGAACAGGGTTATTGCGGTTACATAATGTTGAAGTTATCCATATATCGAATGACTTGTTGTTACCCTTTGAACCCCGTGGATTACTTTTTGAATAATAATAGGTAGGGTTGCTATCATTGATGGACTTTTAGTTCAAGAGTTTCAACCTCATTCTAATCGAAGTAGATGTCACTAAATCTCTATTTAGAGGTTTAGTTAATGGATCTGCTAAGTTCTCTATTGACTTTACATAATTTAGAGAAATTATTCCACTCTTGATTAATTTCCTTACGTAGTCATGTCTGCTAATGTGACTTGACTATCACACATGATAGATATTGAAGATGTATTCTTTGGTCCCAAAGGTATCTCATAAAGTAGATCCTTAAGCCACTCAACTTCTTTCCCGATTTTTGATAATGCTACAAATTCAGATTTCATAGTTTATACATGTTTGCTTCTTCGATTTCCAAGAAACAACACCATCTCCTAGAGTAAACACCCAACTAATATTGGATTTACTTTCACCCGTGCTAAATATCCAACTAGCATCTGTAAATCCTTCCAATACAACCATGAATTTAGTGTATTGCAGACCTAAGTTCTTGGTTTTCTTTAAATATCCAATAACTCTTCAAATAGCTTTCCAATAATCATTGTTTGGATTACTTGTAAACCTACTAAGTTTACTGATTGCAAATGCTATATCTAGTCTTGTGCATTGAACATCGTACATAAAACTCCAGATAGCACTTGCATACTCTAATTGAGCAATTTTTCTTCCATTATTCTTTATTAGCTTTGAACTTGGATCAAGAGGGGTACTACATTTTTTTATGTTCAAATGTTTGAACTTATCTATCACTCTC